AGACACTTACGAGAAGTGTTGGAAGTCTTAAATAAGGATAAGCTATATGCAAAGTTCTCCAAATGTGATTTTTGAATTCGAGAAGTCCAATTCTTCGGTCACGTGGTCAACCAAGAAGGGATAATGGTTGACCCAACAAAAATCGAAGCTGTGATGAAGTGGGAACAACCGAAAAGTCCCACGGAGATCCGAAGCTTTCTGGAATTAGCCGGATATTACCGAAGGTTTATCCAAGGCTTTTCTTCTATCGCTACTCCACTAATAGCTTTGACTCACAAAGGAGTGACTTATGCTTGGAGTGATAAGAACAAAGAAGCGTTCGAATAGCTAAAGAAGAAGCTATGTGAGGCACCAATTCATTCTCTACCTGATGGAGTTGAAGACTTTGCTGTATATAGCAATGCGTCTGGGGTTGGATTGGGTTGTGTTTTGACACAAAGAGAAAAGGTGATAGCATATGCGTCTCGACATCTGAAAGAGCATGAAAAGAACTACCCACTCATGATCTGGAGTTGGCAGTGGTAGTTTTCGCTCTAAAGATATGGAGGCATTACCTCTATGGCACGAAGTGCAAACTTTTAACTGATCATAAGAGTCTTCAATATCTCTTTAGTTTGAAAGAATTGAATATGAGACAACGACGCTGTCTAGAGTTACTTAAGGACTATGACTGTGAGATACTTTACCATCCCGGTAAAGCAAATGTTGTCGCTGATTCTCTCAGCCGGAAAGTTAATCTTGAAAGAAAAAGGCCAAGAGTGTTGAGAATAGAAGTTGTCTCGACAGTTGTGGAGAGTATAAAGAAAGCTCAAGAGGAAGCTTCTGAAAAGAATGACTGAAGGAGGAACGTTTGGGCAAAACGTTTGTGTTTGGTACAAATAGTCATGGACTGAAGGTATTCCAAGATCATATTTGGTTACCTAAGTCAGGAAGAATAATAGATCTTGTGATGGAAGAAGCTCACAAAACCATGTACTCAATTCATCCTGGTAGCACTAAAATGTATAGGGACCTGAAACCCTATTACTGGTGGCTGACGATGAAGCTTGATATTGCACAGTATGTGGCTGAGTGTGTGACCTGTGCAAGAGTCAAGGCACAACATCATAAACCATATGGGAGTTTAGAACCTTTGCCTGTGCCTATGGGTAAATAGGAAGACATTGCTATGGATTTTGTCACTAAGCTGCCCAGAACAAAGAATGGTCACGACATGATTTGGGTGGTCGTTGATCGCTTCACTAAGAGTGCCCATTTCATAGTAGCCAATGAGAAATGGTCTATGGATAAGCTTACAAATTCTTACGTGAAGGAATTTGTGAGGCTTCACGGTGTTCCATTAATGATTGTGTCAGATCGTGACAGTCGTTTCACCTCGCTATTTTGGAGAAGTCTACAAGACGAGTTGGGTACCAAGTTGTGTTTGAGTACAGCTTACCATCCACAGACTGATGGTCAGAGCTAATGAATGATACAAACGCTTGAAGATATGCTGAGAGCATGTACCCTAGAGTTCCAAGGTAATTGGGATGAACATTTACCTTTGGTAGAATTTTCCTACAATAATAGTTTCCACTCGAGCATAAAGATGGTACCTTATCAAGCTATGTACGAACAAAAATGTCATACGCTGTCTTGTTGGCTTGAGGTTGAGGAAAAGCAATTTATGGGACCGAAGATAGTCCATCAAACTGTTGAAAAGTTGAAAATAATTAGGGAGAGAATGTTAGCAGCTCAGGATCGTCAAAAGAGTTAGGCTGACAACAAGCAAAGACCGATGACTTTTGAAATTAGGGATTCAGTTTTGCTTAAAGTCTCACCGTGGAAGGGACTTATAAGGTTTGGTAAAATGAGAAAATTATGTCCAAGGTTTATTGGACCGTTTAAAATTCTTTAGAGGATTGGGATTCAAGCTTACAAGCTAGAACTACAAGAAGAACTGAATGGTATTCATAACACTTTTCATGTGTGT